ATCAAATTAAATTATAACTTCTATTTTTGTTAATAAACATTAATTAATTGATTTAGAATTTTAATTAGAATAACTTTCACATTTTTGTAAATAATTAAAAGTCAATTAGATTTAATTAGGTTTTTTTACTAACATTAATTAATTTTTATTTCTTTCCTAAAATACAAAAAAACCCAAAAATATTTATTTTTATTAATTAATTAATTTATTTAATTTAGTAATTAATTTAGATTTATTTCTTTCTTAAAATAAAAAAAACAACAAAAAAAGATACTTTCTCTCAAACAAGGTCAAAACCCTATTTGCGCTCGATTTAATTTCTCGCACGCGATTTATTTTCTTTTATATCATAATGTATTTGTTCCCGGTTTGTAATAGTTAATAGGACCTTTATTTATTTATTATCGCTTTATTTATTTTTACAAAGGGTTTGTCTTTGGCGATGTAAATACCCGACGCCTTGTAATTTAAATTCCGCATTTTATTTCACGCAAAATATAACTGTTAGATGTTTGATAATAGGAATGCATGACAAGAATGAATGTTTAACCTAAAATCAACTTAGATCACCCTTAACATGTACAAAGATAAAAATAACCGAAAACGACACACTTGCACATGTGCACTCTTAGGGTACATCCCACTTGGTTGCCTTCGTACGCGGTCATTGAGTATATGTCACTTTAGAGGTCGCCCTCTTGTCTAAAAGATCATAGTTGCCTCGAAACGGTTGCCTCGGATATTGTTGCCTCAAAACAAATGATCTAAGACATTAGGGTTACCGCTAAGGCGTCCTAACATTGCTTTAGTGACTGTAAGTCCCTAATTCGAGTTGACCCTTAAACTCCAACGACTGTGCTACCTATTCATCAATTGTAGGATAGCATTGTCTAAAGGACATTAGCATAGAAAGATTCCTTTTTCGAGTAGGTAGATGGTTCTTAAGTACTTGCTCTTTCAAAAAATAAAAACTTTTCACACTTACACTTTTGCAAACAAGTTTTCCAAACACTTCATTACACTCTTGAGGACAGAAGCAAGAGTTAAATCGAAGTTTCAAACAAAAACTTTTTTCAAAACCCACAAGCACAAAGAAAGCAATATTTTGAAAACAATACGAGCAAGTACCTAAGAGCCCGTGGATAACCACGGATAGAAAGGGTGCTAATACCTTCCCTTTCTATAATCTACCCCCCGAACCCGAGAAATATCTCGAAAAAGGAATTTTTCTGTGCTTTTTTCCTTTCCTTGTTGGATAAAATAAAAGTCGGTGGCGACTCTTGCTTACCGCGATATTTTGCAAAAACAAACGCAAAACGCAAACCAGCATTCCAAAAACAGTCATTTCTTTCCCACCGTATCACACCTCTAATTATTGGCAAATTTTTAAGATTGGAGTTCTGCTCCAATGGTACCACATGCATTTGCATAGTATTGAGTCGCATTACATGATTGCATAAAGAAGTTGTAAGTTGATGTGATGAACGTATATTATAGCTGGTATTTCTATTGCGATTATTATTGATTATAAGATGAGAAGTGGTGGTGTTATGTGATCTAATTTAATATATTAATTATCATACACTTTATTATATTGTTAGATATCTCACCCCTTCTGTTTGAATGTTACCCTTATGTTGGTAACATGCAGGTAATAGAGAGTGAAGGCTGTATACCTTCAGTAGTTTGAGTCGGTGTCATTGCTCTGATATGTAACACTCGGGGGGATGAACGCTTGTTGCTTTTAATTGTTGAATATTCAGTTGTTGAACTTTAAGTTGATTATTATTAAATATGTGTTGTTTTGAAATTGCCGTAACGATGGATAAAGATGTTACTAAGAATTCCGCTGCGTAGATGTTTAAATTGTTGAATTATTTAATTAAAGTATTATGCTGATGGTTCATCCGAAGTTTTAAAGTATTATGTATCCATGATGAATGCAATATGTTTTAAAAGATGAATTTGTAGCATCTTGATTTGTTTGTATGAACTTTATGACTCTGATTGATTTATATAATTGTCGGGTAGAATTGGGGTGTTACAGGGAGGATGACGAAAATGATACCACAATCTCTACAATATGCTTTTGAACAGACCTCGCTGACGATGTACATGCGTTGTTTCAAATCCTAAACAATAGAGTTATAAGAAAGATAATTCCTAGTCAACCCCTTTGAGCCTAAGAAGTAGGAGTTTTTCTTTTCACACAACTTAAAACCCTTAATCATAATCTGGGGCAGGGTAGTTTTCTCATTTAATTCAGATGCGCAGTCAGTCACAATCTTCCACTTCATACATAATGAATGGCATCAAAGACGTCCTTCCAAATCAGAAGATGGTGATGGTTCCGCATAATCATTAAAGCCGACAGTCATTATCTCTCAAAATAAAAGCCCGTTGATTCAAAACCTATGAAGGGAATTTAAGAAAAAAACTGGGGCATCCCGCTGAATGTAATCACAAAAGAAATAGTTCAGGCAAAAGTAGAGATAACGAAAACAAAAAAGAGGTCCTACAAATCCTCAACAAAAAAGAAAGGTTACAGAAAATGATTGCCTTCTCAAACAAACGTTCAATTTCTGAACCTTCACCAAGTATCAGAGCAAAGATCCCAGACTCAATTGGGATCTAAGTGCATAATTAACTGAGCATAGGAATGAAGAACATCATGAAGAACATCATGAAGAACGAGTTGGGTACAAATAAAATTTGAGCCTTTATCCTTTGTTTCTTAAACCATGAACTAGGCCACGTTATAATCCTTAAAAGTCCTAGCTGAAGCATGGGTTAGTTCAAAAGCATACTGTTACAAAAGGTATCCTGACTCCTGTAGGGTGCGCTATAAATCCTGAGCTGATATCACATTCTTACAAAATTTGTTTGCTTTAAAAAAAATGAATTTTCAAACTTCAAGACAGACATAAGCTTTGCATTATTAAAATACCATTGTTTGCATATGGCTATTTGTTTAACAGTAGAGAAATTCGCACGACAGATATTCGATGAACAAAAATCCTCTCAGTGGACAAAATCACCTCAGATGGAAAGACACTCTAGTAATAGGCCTTTCATAATCAAGGGGCATATCATGTTGTCCAGCTGATCTGGAGCAGTCAAGTCAAGGTTCAAGGAATCTCTCAAAAATGACAAATAGCCAGGGGCAGATCTCCATCTGAATCAACTGGGGCATTAGACTTGAATTCCAGCAGCGAATCATATGCGGTCAAACAAACATCTTCTGGCAGTGTGGCAACACTTACTCCTATGGACAATGAGAATTCCCCATACCCGGTGAACATGGACATAGTCGGAAAACACTACGCATGAACAAAGACCCGCTAGGTTGACTGGCCTAGGAAAAAATAAGGGCATCCTGGCGAACCAAAAGGGTTTGGGCAAAAATTAGGGATATACATATGAAAAAAATCTGTACACCCGACAAGTCGAAAACCTGAAAAGGCAGCTTGGGCAATAAGGGTATCCCGATGGACTGAAAATCTAAAAGGACAGTCCAGGCAAAAGCTAGGGATTAAAGCGTATGACTACGTCCCATCGTCTCATCACTTGTCTATCAGTAGAAGGTTTATTACCCTGATCTGCATTCACCAAGGACTCCAAGAGTTGGGATAACAGTCAAACCATCTCCAAAATCCCAACAGATACCTTCGTCAGCAGTTATAGGGGAAGGGGCATCCTACTACAAGGTCACTTCCATACTCTTATCATACAACCTAATAATGTCAGGTGTTCTCATACCCCGACAGAGTAAAAGCCTCCAATTACTGCTCCAAAATCCCCTAGTTAAGTCGCCAAGCTTCTTAAGATTCCCCTACAGGATTTCAACAAAATCCCCAAGAAGTTTATGGAGTTCACCTCCCGCAACTGAGTTTTATAAGTCTCAAGTAGTTTATAAAGCCTTATCCCTAGTAGAGTTTATTTCTCTAGCTACGGAAGTCCATCCCCCAACGGAGTTTGTTTCTCTAAATTGGTGAAATCTTCCAACAGAACTCTTCCCCTCGGAAAAATCATTCTCAAACAGAAGTCGAAGATCCTCGGAAGAGAAAGGGAATCACAAACAAAACTATCTCCATTCATTATCCCCAGTGGAAATTTAAGAATCACTTTCTTCACTCGCCAACAACAGTTCAGGATTCAGCTTCCCGGTACTCTTCAACAGCAGTCAGGGATTTATTTTCCCAGACAAAGATACTGCACAACAACATTACTTGTTCATACATCAAGGCATGTGCATACAAATGCATATATCACAATCTCATTTATTTTGAGAGTATCATGTAATTCATACATCATGACATCGCATGAAACTGATTTTACCTTTTCAGGTTAAATTAGAAGATAGATAAACAATGCCAACCTATATAATAGGTCAAAGATTAATGCCCGAGACCAGACAGGAAAACTATCTATACGACCAAGTGGTACAAACTCCCGAAACAAGACGAGTTTACCAACAAATACTGAAAGCCATAGATTAATTCCCGAAACCAGACGAGGAACTATCTGTGTGACCAATGTTGTCGAGTTCTAGATTAATACCTGTAACAAGCCAGGAGAACTATCTGTGGACGAACGATTATGGATTAATACCTGTAACAAGCCAGAAAAGCTATCTACATGAGGAGATTGAAGATTAATACCTGTAACAAGCCACAAAAACTATCTTCCTTTCTTGGGTCAGAGATTATTACCTGAAACCAGCCAGGAGAACTATCTCAGTGACCAACAAAAACAAGTTCCGAATTAATACCTGTAACAAGCCAGGAGAACTATCTGTGGACGAATGACTGTGGATTAATACCTGTAACAAGCCAGGAAAGCTAACTACATAAGGAGATTGAAGATTAATACCTGTAACAAGCCAGGAAAAATATCTTCCTTTCTCGGGTCAGAGACTAATACCTGAAACCATCTAGGACAACTATCTCATGACCAACAAAAACAAGTTCCAGATTAATAGTTGTAACCATCCAGGAGGACTATCTGTGGACGACCGACTGTGGATTAATACCTGTAACAAGCCAGGAAAGCTATCTACATGAGGAGATTGAAGATTAATACCTGTAACAAGCCAGAAAAACTGTCATTCTTTCTCAGGTCAGAGATTAATACCTGTAACAAGCCAGGACAACTATCTCAGCAACCGACAATTTTCAAGTTCCAGATTAATACCTGTAACTAGCCAGGAGAACTATCTGTGGATGACCGACTGTGGATTAATACCTGTAACAAGCCAGGAAAGCTATCCACATGAGGAGATTAAAGATTAATACCTATAACAAGCCAAAAAAGCCGTCTTTCTTTATCAGGTGAGAGATTAATACCTGTAACAAGCTAGGACAACTATCTCAGCAACCGACAATTTTCAAGTTCCAGATTAATACCTGTAACCAGCCAAGAGAACTATCTGTGGACGATCGACTGTGGATTAATACCTATAACAAGCCAGGAAATCTATCCACATGAAGAGGTTGAAGATTAATACCTGTAACACGCCAGGAAAACCTTCTTTCTTTCTCAGGTCAGAGATTAATACTTGTAACAAGCTAGGACAACTATCTCAACAACCGACAATTTTCAAATTCCAGATTAATACCTGAAACCAGACAGGATAACTATCTATGAACAACTGATTTATAGATTAACACCTAAAACCAGACAGGAAAACTATCTACATGACCATCCTGAAGCAATCTTACATGGGTCCTTCTCAGCATCCAGATGCAGTCTAACACAGACTCATCCTGAAAAAGCCCTACACATGATCTTTCTAATACATTTCCAAATAACAGTTAATTCCATTATCCCCAGCAAATTACTGGAAGCCTGGGCTTCAACCAAAATATAGCAAACTGTCATCTCTCCAGATATAACTCTTCAGCAGAGCCTTGGACAACTGAAGTTCCTAGACTCTATTCTCCACAGAGTTTTCCTCAAGCAAGAGAAAAACAGAAACCCACATTCCCCAACGGACTCCTCCTTAGACAGCAGGAACATGAACCCCCAAAGGGACCATGTGTGAAATCAACATCTATTTTAGATGACATCTTTAAGCCCATCTCCGACAACTCTCTGTCATCTTATCCAAATGGCATCTGTAAGCCCATTCCAGCCATCATGAATAATCAGTGTTACTTCATACGAGTGTAAATTTCTAGGCACTCTAGTGTTCAATCATCTTTCACCTTCAGATCAAGAAAGACAGACAAGCCAATCTACATCTTCAGGTTTAAGAAGATTGAACAGGGGCATCTGTTGTACCCCAAAATTTGCACTCTCATGTTTTCCAAGATTCTTTCTTATATAGGTGGTCACAAGCACTTGATTAAAGAAAAACAATTTTTTTAAAGATGAACAAGGTGTATTTTGATTGGAATCTTGACATGATTTGATTGAGCATCTAACCTCCTCCAAGCTTGCTTCAAATTTCCAAGCTTTAATTGAAGCCTTGGCCTTTTTCTCGTTTGCTGTATACAAGCTTCTACTGGGCATGTGTTTCCTTTGAAACAACCTCATTCGATTCAAAAGGGAAGAGCCTCATGTTGGTGCTCCTTCGATTCAGAAGTTAGTAGCTTCCTACTGGCTTCTTTCGATTCAGAGGGTGTTGGCTTCTTACTAGTTTCTTTCGATTTAGAAGGTGTTGGCAATGGCCTCCTGCAGCTTTCCTTCGATTCAGAAGACAAGTGCCTTCTCTATGCTTGCCTTCAATTCACAAGGCAAGAACTTCCTTCATGCCAACAGGCACAAAGCAATGGCCTCTTGCATACGTTCTTCGACTGCACCATTGGCTTTACATGCTTTCTTGATTCATAATGTAATGGTTACCTGTATGTCTTCTTCGATTGAGAAAGGGCCTCTGCAGGTTTGTCTTGATGATTACATGCATGCAAGTTTGATTTCTGCTTCGACTGAGCATTATCTCACTTGGAAAGTTTATTTGGCCCATTCGAAGGAATGGCAAGTGATGCATACAAGTGATGCACATGGTCCATTCAAAAGAGCATACACATTGGTTTAAAACAAAGGATACACATATTGCTAGCCAAAACGAAAGAGAGATATGAAAAGATGCTGGTTGGCCCAAAATCCCACATATTGCCATACTCAAGTTTCATGCACAAGCATTCTGAAGGAAGCTTTGATTAACCTGGAAAGAGTTTTTTGTTGGGGCTCAATCGAAGAGGCCCCAAGGATGAGATTTGAGCCATTCGAAGGACACACCTTGGTGGCCCATTTGAAGAGAGCACAAAGCATACATATGAAAGACACTCAAAAATTCCATTCGAAGGAGGCAACCAAAGGCCCATTCGCAGGGTACACAAATGGTCCATTCAAAAGACCCCTTTGAAGGAGGAAACTAAAGGCCCATTTGAAGGATATACAAGAGGTCCAATCGAAAGGCAGGGACTGAAGGTATTTGAAAGCCAAAATTGTCCACATTCATTCAAATTCAAAAAAGAGACAAGTTTCCATGACTTTGGCAAAGTTACAAAACATCACTCTTGGTTTTGAAAACACTTGTTTATGGCTGTTTAAACCTTTGTCCTCTTGTACCCTCCATCCCCTCTATATAAAGAACACACTAGCCATATGAAAGAGGGATGGAAAACCGGAGAAAGAGTCACACGAAATTGCAAACACATTCTTGGAGGTCTCCTGAAGCTTTTCCAATCATCACCAGCCCCTAAGCAAGCACACGACCAGAAGTGCCAAATCGAAGCAATCCTTAAACAAGGGTATCCACACCTGAAACCACAGATTTATAAATCACCATTGGTAAGAACTAGTAAAATACCAAACTTTACATTTGAATTATACATTAACACTTATAACTCATTCGATTTGTATTCAAGATTAAGAACCTGGGTTCGACACCCAGGTCTGCATTTGTTTTGTTTCTAACGCTTGTACTGTAGATCAAGCCTGAGCAGACCAGCGCGCACAGGATCAAAGGACCTGGGTTCGACACCCCGGTCCTGCATCTTTATTATTCTAATGTTTGTCTTACAGATATGAATCGAAAAGCATATTGCCCTCCTGGATTGAAGAAGACAGTTCCCTCATGGATCGAAGAAAATAACACCCTTCAAAGAATCGAAAGTCAGCTCCCCCCTATGGATCGAAAAGCCCATTTTTATCCCTGGATCGAAGGATACCCCCTTGTATTTTTGTTTTTTTGTTTTCATTGACTTGTTTTTGTTTCAACTTAAAATAAAAAAATCACAAAAAAACATTAGGCTAGTATTTTTCTAATTAAGTTAATTTTGTAAACAAATTAATTGATCATTTTAACCTTGAAATTAAAATTAAATTGACTTAGGTTGTATTTTCTTAAAATAAAATAAAACAAACAAAAATATTTCTTTTCCTTAGGATTTAGACGCCCATTTTAATTTGTTTGTGCATTTATTTATTTTCGCATTTTTTTCATCTTATTGTAACTGCTTCCCAGTTTGTAATAGTAACCAGAACTTTACTTTTCGCATTTCTATAATGTACCTCTCACAAAGCCATGTAATAGCGTAGGATTTACATTCCCGCACTTTACATTTCTGCACTTTAAATTCCTGTATATATATTAACTGTTAGTAATTAGGCTTGTATGGAAAGACTAATAATCAAACGCTAGCAAACTTAACAAAAAGGAAAAAATAACTGAAACATAATACACTTGCATATATACACCTATAGGGTACCCCACTTTGGTTGCCATCGGAAATAAAACAGTCATGTCCCTCGAGACATGACGCTTTAGCAAAGACCAATAAATCAAAAGATCATAGTCCCTCGATGATCCTACAGTTGCCTTTCAGTAAATGATCTAGTCCCTCAACATAAATTGTTAAAGCGTCTCTATATTGTTGCCTTTATGACTGTATGTCCCTTAGAATGTCCCTCATACATTCAACGATGGGGCTTCTTATCAATCAATGGTAAGGTAGCAACATCTAAAGGAAGAGGAAAAGAATATCAGACCTTTTGAGTAGGTAGGACGCTCGTAGTTGCTTGCTTGCTCATAACAAAAAAAACCATTTTCATATATACACTTTCAATTGAAACATTTTCAAAAGTCAAAACCCTTTGTATGCATTCTTATAGAGACTAGAATCATTACAAAGATGTTTTCAAAATATTTTCAAACCCACACCACAAGCATATTTTCAAACAAAAGCAAAGTGAACTAGCAAGCAACTAAGAGCCCGTAGGTAACTACGGATGGAAAGGGTGCTAACACATTCCCTTTCCATAATCTACCCCCTTACTCAGAATAATCTCGTAAAGGTCTTTTTCTGTTCTTTTCACCCTTTCCTTAATTTGGATAAAAGAAAAGTCGATGGCGACTCTTGCTTACCACAACATTTGCGAACACCAACGCAAACTCAGTATTTAACCGTCAACTCTGCCACCATATCACAGTGTGTATAATCTAAATCTTACAAGATAAGGGAATGCATGAATTAATTGTTAAAGAACAAAAAGAAAAGTTTTTATTAATGCGCTCACCTTAGTTTCAAAACCTCGTGCCCACGTATCCCCACCGTGCAATAGGGAATCAGAGTACCGTTGTTCTTCTCGAAAAAGGTTTATTTGTTGATTAATTTTAAATGAAGAGATAAGTTGTAATTTTTAAGGAGAATACTGGACTATTCTCCCACAAATTATGAGAAAGAGGGACAACTAACCAACATGAGGGAGGGTTTGAACACACCTCTAGTACTCAAGTGAAAAAGTCAACATCTTTACAACCATGGGGATAGGGAAATGACATCTCGATTACAAATGACTCATATCTAATATTAGAAAAAGTTTTAAAGGAGAAAAGGTGCATGAGGGCACAAAAAGGTTTGAATGAGGTTAAATGTTTTTTAGTCTTTGAAAAAGGATTTGGTTATTTGAACCACATTAAAGACTATGAGTGAGAGGAAGAACAACTTTAGGAATGCACCACCTTATAATTCTCCCAATACTTAAGGCTCATGACGCATGGTTCACCTCTTTATTGTTAAGTGTTTTTGAGATTTGATAAAAAAAAAGAAGTTTTAGTTTTAAATGCAATGCAAAAGGGAAAATAAAATCTAAGGGGAAACTCAAGTCCTAATGTTATCATGCAATATGGTCCTAGAGTTGGGATATCAAATGGAAGACTACCTATAAGTTCACATGCATCATTGACCTAAAGGCAAGGATTGAGGGAACTTCTACCTAATGTTATCATGCTTGATTTAAAATCTAAAGTCTATTTAATTCACAACTTGATCAAGATGAAATCAAACTCCTAAGGGTACATGTTAGCACAAGCAATCAACAAAAGGAAACAAGAAGAATGAGAATGATGTCGTGATCTCAGCTATAGAATGAAAACTGAGTGATTCTTCATTCACAATGAAACAAAAATGAGGATGATGTCGTGATCTCAACTATTGTGAAAACTGAGTGAGTCTTCGTCCATAATAAAGAATAAACAAAAGAATTATGAATAATGTCGTGATCTCAGCTACGGTGAAAATTGAGTGACTCTTTATTCATAACCAAAACAAACATGAGAACAATGTCGTGATCTCATCTATGACAAAAACTGAGTTAATTTTTGTTCTCAACTAAGATATGACAAAGGTAACCAAACAAAACCCATAGTATCACTTGCAAATGGCACACAAGCAAAAAATAAACCACAAGTATACCAAGCATCAAGTGAAAATAAATCACAAGCAGAAAGTACATCAGATAAGCCCAAGGTATCAGATAAGAACTTTTGCATCAGATGAAAAACCGAACAAACAGACAAGACCAGGATAACAGAGAAATAGCCCAAAGGTCTCATGTGAAATAATAATTCAAGGAAAATAGGTTAAGACCATGTATCCGAGCTAAATGAATGAGTGATATATGAAGTAAATGTTTAATCAATTAATTAAGCATTGATTAAATTAATTAGTTAGGTTAAGAAAAATTAATTAGAAAAACTAATTAATTTTTAATAACAAAATCAACTAATTAAATCAAAATTTTATTAGTTAATTAAAAGCAACAAAGCGTGCAAAGAGGAAATGAGCACTTGAGCCATCTTGGAAGCTTGGACAAACCATAAACAAGGTTAGCAACACAAGAGAAATTATAATAAACCAAATGAAGCTTTCTTCTAACTTAATTAATAAGCAACTGATTCTCAACCAAAAATCAACATACATGCTCGAATGAAAAGAAAAGGAAACATGGATTAGAATACACTTAGCATAAATTTGTGAATGAAAAAAGTAAGTAGTAAAAGATGGTTAGAAACCAAAATCTCATGAAACCATTTACGTCTCAAGACAACTTCAAACACTTATTCCATTTATTAGAAATCAAAATCAATTAGCATACACTCATGTTGATATTCAAGACATATTCAAAACATTAAAAAAAAATTAGAGTTAAGCCTTAACCGATTAAATCAATAACCAGGCAATAACTACATATAAACAATAATGCCCCAAAAATACAACTCAAACATGTTTGAAACCAATGAGAAACACTTCAAAGTTAACACCATGCTTTTTCACTCAAATTAAACTTAAATAAATAAAAATGTCATCAACATCTCTTGAATTAATTAAGTTACATGGCATCGATAATAAACTTCACTCGGGTTTAGCACAAATAACACATAGAGCATGGTACCGACACAAAAACTCACTCGAATTTAGCATATATAGCACATAGAGCATGGTATCCACATCACAACTTATTCAAATTAACTCAAGTAGCATGACAATCATTAGAAATTCACAAACATAACAATTAACATCAATAATTGACCTTTAAAATATCAAATTGAGAACAACATGTTCATCATTTAACTCAAGGTTCTCATTCAATTTCAACATATAATTTACAACCAATAGTCACCATTATCTTTAAAACTTAAACCAACAACAATATCATCATTATCAATTTCAACATTAAATTCATAACAATATCATCATCATCTCAACCTTTAATCCATCATAATATCATTACCAAAATCAACATTAAATTCACAACAGTATCATCATTATCAATATCAATTTGTTATCACAACAACAACATCATCAATTTCACCATTTCCCCTAATAAAATCAAGTAATCTACAAAAATGATGGAAGAAGTGGCTTACCACTTATAACAATGGAGAAAGAGGTGTTGTTGATGGTGGAAGGAAGTGGCTGGTCGGACAGATTGAAGATTGTTGTGTATGTTCAGATGGGTCATGATGGAAGGTCCTACAGAACGATGAGGAAGTTGCCGGAGCATGTTTAATGTTGGACGTGGTGGAAGATCGCGGAAGAACAGAAGTTGAGAACTGTGTGGGTGGTCCGCATGGCGTGGAGCTAGCAGAAACAAATGGAGGGAGTACCCGGAAGTGAAGGTGTAACGTGGGTGGCTGTAATATGGAGGACGTGAGCGGAGGAAGTTGTTCTGTTTTCTTTTCTTTTAAACTCTGATCTCTCCTTCCAAAACTGCTACCCCCTTTACAATTCTATCTCTAATCTATTATATACAACAAACTAAGTTTTCCTATTTTAATAAATTCCTAAAATTCCCCTTTGATAAAAATAATCACAAACACTAAAAGATTAAAAATAAATACACTCAAAAATATTTTTGTTTCAAATTTTTCTGAATAAAAAAGTAGACTTAAAATAATCAAAAACGATAAAAAAAGGACACTTAATTAACCGAAAAAAGAGATGAAGTGATCAGTAAAATATCAAGTGTATTATTTTGCCTATGTAGTAATTATAGGGAAATTCTCCAAATGTCGATCTCAAAGACTGTGTACAAGTATCAAGTTCAATTCGTGGTTCAATTAAACAAAAACTAAGATTTGGATTTTGTTTGGAAATTGTCACTTAAAATTAAGCAGAAATATAAATTGGCTTTCTCTCAGATATGAGAAGCATGCTAGGGTAAAATGATAATTTTCCCTGTAACAACCTTAAATCATGATTTCTTCAACAAGTTCATAACATTCAATTACCAGCCCTTTAGGTTGTTTTCCCCTAAGTCCTTAGTGGGAAAACCTTTGAACATTCATCCTAAAGCCCAAGTCCATAGAGAATTATGATGAAATCAAGTATTTGTTTTATCAAGAGTTAACCGGTAACTATAGGGTATCCCTAGTTCTAGGTAATATCTCCCGTAGTCTAATCGTACAAAAACCTTAACAACTGTGGTCCAGCTAATTGTTAACCGTAAATCAATCTTATTGGTCCGACAAAGAAAGCATAAAAACCTCGTACAATTAAATTGAATAAGAAAACAAATATATTGACAAAACTAGAAATCAAAGGTGTTTACATAATCAAATCAGGGACACCCCTTAGCATTGTAGGGTTTAGCTACTCATACTTTTCAAAAGAACTTCAATAACATATAAATTAGACATTACAAATTAGTGGTGAACTTTGATCTTCAATTACTTCCACTCATGAAAAGTCTCTATTCTCCAACAATTGCATATGCTCCAATCTTCAATTGTAAAAGTTCTCCGCTGGAAAAAATTCCCCTAATTCCTCTTCAAAACTTGGCTAATTAGTGAACAATCCATTTGTTTCAGTAAGAAATGCTCAAAACGCCCCTCCGGGTCCCAAATTGTGAAAAATCATGAAAACACTCAAAATTAGCATCACTGGCCAACACAGCCCGTGTCAGGTGACACAGCCGCCCGTGTTAGCCTTCTAGTCTTTTAATTTATTTTTCCAGTCCTAAGCATGCTGACACGACCTGTGTTAGGTGACACGACCTCTCGTGTCAACCCCCCTGGCTTCCCACTTCTTCCATGACGCCCATCCTGACACGCTCATGTCAGGTGACACGGTTGGCCGTGTCAGTCCTCCTTTAGATGGATTTTTGACTTTCTCTGAAACTCCGCATTTTACACTTTTTGCCATGAATTGTCTCGATTTATTCCTTTGAGCCTAAAAACAGTAAAATACACAAGCAACGCATAAAATATGGTAAAATGAAATAAAACACTCGACAATCAAAATAAACGATAGCTAAAATCAATGGTAAATAAGTGTGAAAAAATCACTGGTCAAACTCCCCCAAATTTAAACCTTTACTTGACCTCAAGCGACAATAACAAGAGCTCATGAACTTCACATAATACCAGTACTCATACGTGAGACTTCCGTTCACATTGATCAAGAGGTAGTCTGTCCGGTGTTCACACGACGTAAAGAGTTTTTGTAAGAACCTTTTAATCTTGAGTTACCTCTTCAGATACCTCTCTAATTATACTTTGTACTTAAGTCTTTTTCCGATTTTCCTCCTCTTTCATTCGAACAATCAAGTTAAGTTCATGAGAGTTATGATGATCATCCCATGCACAAGACTAATCAAAATTTTTTGTTTAGGCACCAAATAATAAATCCTTGCTACTTTAAATACCGATGAAGTTTTCAAAACTTTGCAGTTTGTATATTGTCCTTTTTGGATGATGTTTGGGGATCAACCCCCTTTGGGCTGAATAAATTAGTGAGGGTTACCCAACTTAGTGGGCTGGTTGCCTTTTGCTGCCTTTTCATCATTTGGTGCCAAGTTTATTTGTTTCTCAATCAATCATACATGCATGTGAATCTAGATTATGCTAGACTTTATAGATAAACTACTCAAGGAGTACTTCTCAAGATTCAACCACTATGGTACAAATCTACACGTTAGACTTGTATCATGGTCACATTATTTCAACTTCTTACCCTCAAATAATCATCCCTTTATCTCTATATACTATTCCCGATTTCTTTGAAATATAGACTCTTGCGTAAAACAAAACAAAAATTTTTGGTCAAAACTTGAGAAGACTTCAACATATGGTTTTAGAAAGCACATAGCATAAAACAAACAAAACAGTAAAGAAAACAGTAAATCCCTCCCAAACTTGAACTAAACATTGGCCCTAATGTTTCAGAACAAGATCGAGAAAGGTGACTCACAGAGGATAATACAACACCAATTGCTACCTCTTAGCTTTCACCAATAAGACCCCTTTTTTATTACCTGAAAACAAAATAAACAACAAAAAGGAAAACTAAGTTATTAAAAGCGTAGGTTTCCTCCCATAAAAAAACACTGTTTAACGCCGCATGACTCGAAGTTCCATTCCCCTTTATTAGGGGGCATACTTCCTCTTCCACACCTTGTCGATCTTCCTTTCTGCAACCCAGAACTCATCTAGTTCAAAAGCATGGATCACTTTGCTCTTCAAGGCACTCCCAATTTCCATATCATCACCTTGATGTTCCCTTTTCTTTCTCTTCTTGGCTTCTTAAATGGACTTAGGAGTTTTGATATATGCTTGAGATGATGCCACCTGAGAGATTATGCTGGAGATTTTTCTGGGGATGATTTTACATTTTTGCTATCTCCTACTAATTTGATCATACCAACTGAAGCCTAATTCTTTCCACTTGCTGGTTTCTTTTTGATATCCAACACCTTCAAAGTCATCTCCTCATTAAATGATCTTAAAGTCAGATTACCTATCTCGATATCAAAATTGCATCAACTAGTAAGCAAAAATGGTCGACCAAGAATGATAAGAATTTCTTCATCTTCAGGAATGTCCATGATCTGGAAATCAACTGGAAAGAAAATTTTTTGAGCTTCCACCAATACATCTTCAGCTATCCTATATGACTGCCTGATGGTATGATCAACAAATTTTAATTTTGTCCCACTCTCGCTTATCTTTTCAATACCAAGCTTTTTGAATATAGACAATGGAATCAAGCTCACACTAGAACCATGATAAATTAGAACCCTCTTAAATGCTCTGTCCTTTACAGTACAAGGTATTGCAACTGACCCCAGATCCTTCTGCTTGATATTGATTTTTCTCTCGGGCGTGATTGCATACAATTTCTCATCACCAAGTACCGGCCCATCTTCTGTTGGTCTCTTTTTTGATATTACCTCTTTCACGAATTTCTGGTATAAAGGAATTTTCTCGTGTGCTTCAAAGAACGGTATGTTAATCTCTAGCTTTTTGAACACTTTGACAAATTTTCTGTAATTCTTTCTCTTTTGGATCCTTCTTTGCTACCCGAGAGGGATACAAAAACTTAATCACTGGTTTAGCCTCCTTTGCACTCTTCTCTTCAGTTGGTTTCACTGGAAATAACACTTCTTTATGCTTTTTCTTATTTTCTCGCACTTCCAACTCTACCTCTATGATTTGATCATCATATTCCTTGTCTTATTCACTTATGACCCCTTCTGACTTCTTGTTGTGACAGCATTAACATTCTCATGACTTTTTTGATTGCCTTGTGCTTGCAAAGATAATTATTGTGCAATCTGTCCAATTTGAACTTCCAAATTTTTTATTTTAGCTATGGTATTTATGTGATTTCTCATTGTCTCTTCTTGGAATTGAGAAGTGTGTGCAACCATCTTTTTAATAACTACCTCCCATTCTGCCTTTTGAGGAGCTTGTTGCTGACTTTGGCCACTTCATTGCTGATTATTTCAGGAGAAATTTGGATGAGTTTTCCACCTCAGATTATAAGTATTGGAGTAAGGATGATTCTGCCTCAAAAATTTAAACTATTCAACTTGTTGTGGAGTTGCAAGATGTGTGGTCCATTACAAATTTCACAACCAGCTTTTTGTGCCTGTTGAACCTTAGCTACCTGTTGAGTACCCATGTTCATTGCTTTCAACCTTCTCTCCACTTCTGCCGTAATTGTATCTTCAATTCTGAGTTGCTTGTTAACTTCTAACTTTAGATCAATCAAACCCTCTAGTTTACTTGCAACCCTATCATATAGCTCCAGATGCTCATCTGCAGCAATGGCTTTAATAATCTTCTTCACACTAGTGGTTGTTGTAAAGTTGGATAAGCCACCGAATGTTGTATCAATAAGTTGCTTAGTCTTCATTCGAAGGCCATTTACAAACATATGCATTTGTTTAGTTTGGTCAAGATTGTGAGTAGGATACACTACCAATAACAGATGCACCCTCGGGGTATTCTTGAACCTCAAGATACCTCTTTACCTCATGAAACCAAGGTTTATCTATTACCTCTTCAGTCTAGATATCACAATAATGTGCAGGTTCATCTAATCTCTCGATGGTAATCCGGGGAGCCTCATTGTCCCACCTAACCTTGAACATAGAAGACATCGTAGCTAACGCGTCCGCCAACTGATTCTCCTCTCTTGGGAAGTGTTCAAAGGTTATCTCCTCGAAGTGTGGGAGCAATGTCAGTACATATTCCTTGTAAGGAATAAGATTTGGGTACT